TATCTCTTTTCGTAGAGAGGGTGGGAGGCGTGTACAGAGAAGAGTGAAGCTAGACCACACTGCGCTCCCCACAGTGGCTTCATGACGATCCTTCTGCATACGGAGGGTCTAGGAAACTGCGACCCAAACGCAGCACCTGTGCCCTCCAGGTGCTCGTGCACTGGGTCTGGCCCTTCACTCGGTTCCCCGGGGCGGGGGGGGGGGGGGGGCTTGACCAGCCCCCTGCTGTGAGTGGACCTAGGAGAGCTCACCTGCAGAACGCCACTGGCTGAGCCGCAGGTGCAGCTGGCAGGGTGACCAGGAGGCCCAGGGCCAGCGGGGCGGCACCACCCCAAGTGTGTGCACCCCTGTGCAAGGGGCCGCTCTCAGCACGGGGCCACGGAGCTGCTCTCTGCCACCTGCTCACAGGGGATGTTTGCTGGGCAGGGATGCAGGCACTGCGGGAGGCTCCCGGCAGGGTATAGACTGTGCTCGGCCACTAGGGGCCAGTGTAGCCCAGAGATGGACCCAGTGGGCCTGCAGGCCGGGTTGGAGGGGGGCCTTGTCTCTCCTCCCCATAGGGACGCAAGGACAGCTCTGGACATGAGGCCTGTGCCCATAATCCGGAGTCCACAGAATTTCCAGTCAGACCGGAGATTGAGTCTCCATCCTCTGTGTACACCAGCTAACCTTTCTGGAGCCTTCCAGAACCTTCCTGGAGCTACGGCCTCCCCAGCATGGGGCACAGGTTGGTCGGGTGCTGGCATCTCAGGAGCACCTGAGGGGGACAAGCCCTGGGAGGGGCCTTCCCCCAGGGGCCAGGGGAGCCACACACAGCGGTCCGGGGCAAGAAATCCCAGCACGTGTATTTAGACAGGTTCTGGCAGCTTCCAAGCAGGGAAATATTTTTCCTTTTTGTCACAGGTTATCCTGCTCTTTCAGGGAAGCCCTAGTACGTAGGTAAGTGGTGCCTGATTAGGATCTAAATCCCCTTTGCCTCTACTAACTTTCTAATTAATTCGAGGTCCCATTTCTGTTCCATGTTTTAACTTTCACACTTTTCCATGAGTCCAGACGTAAGGGGTGGTGGGGGAGAGGAGCGGGGTGTAATGACCTGCGTCCCCAAGAGGTCTTCCCTTGGAACTCCTAAAAAAGGGCAGAGTGGAGCCCAGCCTGGACTTGTTTTTCAGCTTTCACCCACGGGGCTATTTCTTGAGGCTCCTTGCTGTTCAGAAACCGGCCCAGGAATTTATTGTGTAAAGGAAGAGATTCCAGAATTCGTGTGGGTTCTGGTCCCAGCCCCTGGCAAAAAGCGTTCTGAGCTACTTTTTACAACATGTACAACACTGGAGATGCATAGCTTCTGCCTTCTTTTTTTTTTTATTCTATTTTTAAAAACACTCACTTCACATGAAACACCTCTGGGCGTGTGCAAAATACAAACGCCAGTTACCATCCGCCAAGGCGGGGAGTGGCGCTGGCAATTCCGGCACACGCAGCATCGTAGGACGTGGGGCCTCCCTCCTCCGGCCAGGGGCTGCAGGGGACAGGCACCAATCGAAACTCAACTCCAAGCCTCCTCCCCACCCGGCTGTGTCCCCCCAGGAGGGGACCCTGACAGTCAGGGAGTGGGCCCTGGGTCCTCAGAGACAGTGGGCACATGGGGGGAAGGGAGGAGAGAGACCCTGCTCCCAAATGGGAAGAGCACGAGAGCAAGACAGTGGCCTGTGGGAGCCACAGTCTTGGACACCACACATGCCACGTCCCTCCAAAAAGCCCTGGAAACACGTTGGGTGACCGGATCAGTGCGGGGGGCACAGACCCCTTAGGAAATCAGAGGAGAGCTACAGCCTCCGCCTCTCCTCCGGCATGGACACGTGGCCGCATTTAATTCACAAAAGGAAGGCATCAAGGAGGAGGCGGCCATGGACCGTGCCAGGCTAGACGAGGACAGCAGCCACAACAGTAAACGTCAGACCTGGTAGACCCGTGCGCGAGCCAGCCCTGCGCCAGTCCCCTCAGAGTCTCTCGTTAATCCTCAACAACGCTAGGAATCTCGGATTACTGCTAGGTACGGTGGGAAGTCAGGCCTTGGTGAAGGTTGCACAACTAGTTAGGGGCAGAGTTGGCACCCAACCCCTCTAAGGCGCCGGCCATTTCAGACCCGTGGGTTCTGTCCTGCTGGTGCAGCTGCACCACCCTGCGTCCCGTCACAAGCCGCAGCCTTTTTATTCCTTCTCTCTTCCTCCTCCTCAAAACTGCGACACCAGCGTGCACGCACCGGGACAGGCATGTACGTTCAAAGTGTGATCATGAAGCCAACACTCTGGTCACCCTCGGGTCCAGAAGTGGACACCCCCTCCACCCCTAAATGTGCCTGCAATCGCGTCTCTGCTTTTCTTAGTCTTTTCCCTACTGAGTGCACGCCTCGGTGTACCCCTCCACCCCTAAATGTGCTGGCAATCGCGTCCTTGCTTTTCTTAGTCTTTTCCCTACTGAGTGCACGCCTCGGTGTACCCACCAGTGTGGCCGAGTTGGCTTGCTTTCCGGCCACATGCGAATAGAGTCACCTGTTGTCTCTCGGGCCTTTGCTTAGCGTCCTGTTAGTGAGACTCATCCATGTGTTCCCTGCCCAGCCACTGCCACCAGGAAACAGTGCGGGCAGTCCCTGCGGTTACCTTGCAGCCTGCTGGTTTCTTATTCTGGGAAACAAGCCCACACCTGAACCCATTCACTGCATTTGAATTTTGTTTATTTAAACCCAACCCACCCTATTTAAAGCCCTATTGCAAAATACACACTCCTGGGGGGGCTCCAGCCTCCCCCCACCTGGGTCCCCCCTTCCGTCCAGTGCAGCCGCCTTCTACCCTGAGGATCCCGGCCCAGGGAGGCCCAGGGATCCTCCCTCCCTTCCCGACCTTGAACTCCTGCCCTTTGATCCTCCCCCCTGCGAAATCCCAGGCCCAGGGCAGTCTGAGAGGCCCCCGCCACACTTAGGGGACGCGCTTCTCTCCCTTCTCCCTCTCCCCTAACGCACACACTTCCCAACAAGACTTGCCGGGGGAAACTCCCAGAATTAAAAGGTCCCAAGGCGACTCTACTTTGTAGGTCAGTAGGACGTCTTCCAGTCGTTGCTGATGGGAAGAAAATGCTCATATTGGGACTCAGCCCAGAGACACTGTTTCGCCAACTTTGAGCAAAATTGGCCGCGTGTGATGCACACATACCGATCGCGCCGGCGGGGAGACCCTTCCCCACCTCTAACGCCGCCCACGCTCGCCGAGACCGTACCCACCTGAGCCCAGCTCAGAGACGCGGCCGCGATCCGACCCTCCCCAGTCAAAAAGACCCGCTCTGGTGGCGACTGCGCGACACTCCCACCCCTACCGCCGCGACCACCCCAGGAGGAGGAGCCGTCTCGGAAGGCGAGAAGGCCGCCCCCAGCCCACCTCCCCACCTCGGACGCCTGGGAGGCCTAGGGGGATGCCGTGGGTTCGGGCGCACAGAGCCCCACTGCGGGAGAGTGCGTGCCCTCCCCACCGGGGTGGCGCAGTCCCAGAGCCCTACCGGAGGGGGGGGCTGTCACTTAGTCCCAAAGCCCCCCCCACCCCGGCCCGAGGGGATTGCAAAGTCTTAAGCCTCCACCCTCTCTCCAGGCTGTGCCCCTCAAAGGCGGGGTGTGCGTCTCCCAGATCTAACCTCCCTCCTTCCCCTCTTCCCCATGATTTCTCGCAGGCGGGGCGCGTGCGCGCGCTTGCGCGCCCGTGTGTGTCACAGCTCTAAAAGTCTAAGGTCTTCGCAGCCCCTGTTCTCTGCAGGAAACTGGGGGGGTCGTCGCACAGTTCCAGGTGCCCGCCCCAGGGGGCCTCCAGGGACAGCCCTTCGGGCCCAACACCTTGGGGCTTGGCGACGAGTCCGGGCACGGTCCGGCCAGGCCGCACGCGCGGGAGAGGAGCGAACCTCCCCGGTCCCCTCCAAATCCCAAATGTCAACCCAGGTTTCCTTTTCATTCAGAAGTTGTGCTTTAAACCGAGCAGGACCCGAATCCGGTAGCTGCCTATTGGGTTTCAAAGTCCAGGGACGTTTTCTTGTCTGGGTGAAGCATTTTAGCCCCATGCGTCTTGCGGTAAACGTGTAATCCCCACCCCCCGCGGTCCTTAATGGGGAGCTCCCAGCACCTCCGCTCCAGTCCCCCGCCCGGGTCCAACTCGCGGGCTGCCCGTGGCGACGGTCTCTGCAGATCGGTTCTGCTGGGGTGGGGTGCGAGGCTTTGAGCCGCGCCCGAGCCCCCGACGTGCGGAGCCACCGGCCCTCCGGTAGCGGCCACCAGAGGCCCCCAGCCCTGCCTCTCCAGCTCAGCTCCCTCGGCCCCGCCCCCCGGGGCGGCCGGGTGGGGAGGCCGCAAGGGGGTAGGCCCCCAGCCCCCGCCGCGGCCGCGCCCCCGCGTCTCCATAGCGATCCCGCGGGCACACACCTCCGGGCCGGCTCCCCCCGGGGCGGAACAATACGCCGCGGGGCCAGGGGCGGGGCGGGGCCGGCCAGGGGCGGGGAGAGCGCGGGCGGCGGGGGCGCGGGCCGAGCGCACCGCCCAGGCAGCAGCCGGCCGCCGGGGTCTGCACGGTGTGGCCCAGCCCGCTCGGGGAGCGTACCGCCCCGCTCGGGGCCCGCCCCGCTTCCCACGCCCGCCGGGCCGAGCCCGCGCCGGAGCCACCTGGAGCCGCCTGGAGCCGCCGCCGCCGCAGGTTGATGCGCGGCGCCCTCCCGGGACGCGCGGAGGAGCCATCTTGAAACCAACTCGCAAACTTTCGCAAAGTGCTCTCGAAGTGGAAGCTGCGGGGGAGGCCGGGCGCGCGGACCCCGGTGTCCCCGCCAGGGCCCCCAGGGAGACAGGGCGCGGGCCGTCCCGAGGGCCCGGCGCCGGGCGCGCGGGAGCCGCCCCCGGGCCGCGCCGGGTGGATGCGGAGGCGCGCCGGGTGCATGGATTGTGCTCGGGCGCCCGGCTCGGGCTCGGGCTCCGGGCCATGGCGCCGCCGCCGCCGCCCGTGCTGCCAGCGCTGCTGCTCCTGGCCGCCGCCACCGCCCTGCCCGCGCTGGGGCTGCGAGCGGCCGCCTGGGAGCTCCGCGTGCCCGGCGGGGCTCGCGCCTTCGCCCTGGGGCCCGGCTGGACCTACGCGTTGGACGCCGCGCGCACGCCCCGGGCGCTGCGGGAGCTGCTGGACGTGAACCGAGAAGGGCGGCTGGCAGGACGGCGGCGCGGGCTAGGCGCGGGGCCTCGGGGCTGCGCGCGCCTAGGGGGGCGCCCGCTGCCGCTGCACGTCCGGCTGGTAGCCCGTGGCTCTCCGACAGCGCTAAGCCTCCGCCTGCGGGCCCGCGCGCAGGGTCCTGGCTGCGGACCCCGGCCCCGGCCCCGACGGGCCCCTGGCGCAGAGCTGCGTGCGCGGGCTGTGCTCACGGTGCCGGGGCTGGGCGGGACGCTCTGCTTCCCTGCCCCCGGTGGCGGTGGGGCCACGCTGCACTCGGCGCTCGCGGCCCTCACCACCTTCCCCGCCTGCAGCTGCCCGGCGCGTCCGGGACCCCGCTGCCCTGGCCGCCCCATCTGCCTGCCGCCGGGCAGCTCGATCCGCCTGCGCCTGCTGTGCACACTGCGGCGCGCTGCGGGCGCCGTCCGGGTGGAGCTGGTGCTGGAGGCGGCCGCCGCGGGGACGCCCTCCGCGCCGCTGTCGCCGCCCTCCGCGCCGCTGTCCCCGCCACCGCGGAGCCTGCCGAGCCTGCCTCTAGCCGGGGCGGGTGTGGCGCGCCGGGCCCGGCGGGGCGCGGGCGGCAACACGAGCCCGCAGTTCCCGCTGCCCAGCTACCAAGTGTCGGTGCCCGAGAACGAGCCGGCGGGCACAGAGGTCATCGAACTGAGCGCGCACGACCCGGACGAGGGCGAGGCGGGGCGCCTGAGCTACCAGATGGAGGCACTGTTCGATGAACGCTCCAACGGCTACTTCCTCATCGACTCCGCCACGGGCGCCGTGAGCACGGCCCGCGCGCTGGACCGCGAGACCAAGGACACGCACGTCCTGAAGGTCAGCGCCGTGGACCACGGCTCGCCGCGGCGCTCGGCCGCCACCTACCTCACCGTCACGGTCAGCGACACCAACGACCACAGCCCGGTTTTTGAGCAGTCCGAGTACCGCGAGCGCGTGCGTGAGAACCTCGAGGTGGGCTACGAGGTGCTGACCATCCGCGCCACTGACGGCGACGCGCCCTCCAACGCCAACATGCGCTACCGCCTCCTGCAGGGCGCAGGCGGCGTGTTCGAGATCGACGCGCGCTCGGGCGTGGTGCGCACGCGGGCCGCGGTGGACCGCGAGGTGGCCGCGGAGCACCAGCTGCTGGTGGAAGCCAATGACCAGGGCCGCAACCCCGGGCCGCTCAGCGCCACGGCCACCGTGCACATCGCGGTGGAGGACGAGAACGACAACTACCCCCAGTTCAGCGAGAAGCGCTACGTGGTCCAGGTGCCCGAGGACGTGGCAGTCAACACGGCCGTGCTGCGCGTGCAGGCCACGGACAGGGACCAGGGCCAGAACGCGGCCATACACTACAGCATCGTCAGCGGGAACCTGAAGGGGCAGTTCTACCTGCACTCCCTGAGCGGGAGCCTGGACGTCATCAACCCGCTGGACTTCGAGGCCATCCGGGAGTACACGCTGCGCATCAAAGCGCAGGATGGGGGCCGGCCTCCCCTCATCAACTCCTCGGGGCTGGTGTCGGTGCAGGTGCTGGACGTGAACGACAACGCGCCCATCTTCGTGAGCAGCCCCTTCCAGGCCGCCGTGCTGGAGAACGTGCCCCTGGGCCACTCGGTGCTGCACATCCAGGCGGTGGACGCAGACGCCGGCGAGAATGCCCGACTGCGTTACCGCCTGGTGGACGTGCCCTCCGCGGGCCCCGGGTCTGAGGACCCTGCCTCCGCCCCGGACTTCCCCTTCCAGATCCACAACAGCTCGGGGTGGATCACCGTGTGTGCCGAGCTGGACCGGGAGGCGGTGGAGTACTACAGCTTCGGAGTGGAGGCGGTGGACCACGGCTCGCCGGCCATGAGCTCCTCGGCCAGCGTGTCCATCACCGTGCTGGACGTGAACGACAACGACCCGGCGTTCACGCAGCCCGCCTACGAGCTGCGCCTGAACGAGGACGCCGCTGTGGGGAGCAGCGTGCTGACCCTGCGGGCTCGGGACCGCGACGCCAACAGCGTCATCACCTACCAGCTCACGGGCGGCAACACGCGCAACCGCTTTGCGCTCAGCAGCCAGAGCGGCGGCGGCCTCATCACCCTGGCCCTGCCGCTGGACTACAAGCAGGAGCGGCAGTACGTGCTGGCGGTGACCGCGTCCGACGGCACGCGCTCGCACACCGTGCAGGTCTTCATCAACGTCACCGACGCCAACACCCACCGGCCGGTCTTCCAGAGCTCCCACTACACGGTGAGCGTCAGCGAGGACCGGCCCGTGGGCACCTCCATCGCCACCATCATCGCCACGGACGAGGACACGGGCGAGAACGCCCGCATCACCTACGTGCTGGAGGACCCCGTGCCGCAGTTCCGCATCGACCCGGACACCGGCACCATCCGCACCACGACGGAGCTGGACTACGAGGACCAGGCCGCCTACACGCTGGCCATCACGGCGCGGGACAACGGCATCCCCCAGAAGTCGGACACCACCTCCCTGGAGATCCTCATCCTCGACGCCAACGACAACGCGCCCCGGTTCCTGCGGGATTTCTACCAGGGCTCTGTTTTCGAGGACGCCCCGCCGTCCACCAGCGTCCTCCAGGTCTCCGCCACGGACCGGGACTCCGGGCCCAATGGCCGTCTGCTGTACACCTTCCAGGGCGGGGACGACGGCGACGGGGACTTCTACATTGAGCCCACCTCTGGCGTGATCCGCACCCAGCGCCGGCTGGACCGGGAGCACGTGGCCGTGTACAACCTGCGGGCGCTGGCCGTGGATAGGGGCAGCCCCGCTCCCCTCAGCGCCTCGGTGGACGTCCAGGTGACGGTCCTGGACATTAACGACAACCCCCCCGTGTTCGAGAGGGACGAGCTGGAGCTGTTCGTGGAGGAGAACAGCCCGGTGGGCTCGGTGGTGGCGAGGATTCGCGCCCACGACCCCGACGAGGGCCCCAACGCCCAGATCATGTACCAGATCGTGGAAGGCAACGTGCCCGAGGTCTTCCAGCTGGACCTGCTGAGCGGGGACCTGCGTGCCCTGGTCGAGCTGGACTTCGAGGTCCAGCGGGAGTACGTGCTGGTGGTGCAGGCCACGTCCGCCCCGCTGGTGAGCCGGGCCACCGTGCACGTCCGCCTCCTGGACCAGAACGACAACCCGCCGGTGCTGCCCGACTTCCAGATCCTCTTCAACAACTACGTCACCAATAAGTCCCACAGCTTCCCCACCGGCGTGATCGGCCGCATCCCCGCCCACGACCCCGACCTGTCCGACAGCCTCAACTACACCTTCCTGCAGGGCAACGAGCTGCACCTGCTGCTGCTGGACCCCTCCACGGGCGAGCTGCAGCTGAGCACGGACCTGGACAACAACCGGCCACTGGAGGCGCTCATGGAGGTGTCCGTGTCCGGTGAGTGGCCCAGGGCTGGGAGAGGCGCCCGCCGGGCCGCCCAGAGAGCCGCAGGGACCCGCCAAGCGCCCGCCCGGCATGCCGGGGCGCATCTCCGGGCAGGGCCCGGGCAGCTCCCTGGGGATTCGCCGCCTCCGGTCGGATGCTGGGGGCGGGTGCCCCGCCTAGGCCGGGGGAAGGGGAGAGGCACCGCGCTGCTTCCCTCAGCACTTTTGCTGGGAGCAGGCCCGGCCGCTTCAAGTTCAAGGCCGGGGCTTGGCACTTTCCTTGGCAGGCTGGTGGCTCCTGACTCCTACTATTAAAACCTGGCCTGGGGTTATCCAGGTTGCAGGGTTTGCTTGGGGATGCTCTTCAGCCAGCCAGCCCGCGGGGTTCTCTGGAAAGATCAAAGGTCACTGCCGGTGCCATGTGCCAATTAGTTTCCGGGTGGGACCGTTGGAAATTGCTGGACAGGTCCCTGAGTCACCCCGTAATACGGCTGTTGTTCCCTTGGTCTCGCTCTTCTGTCTCCTCCGGATAATATCAGTTGGGTTTATGTGTGCCGTCTTTGTGCAAGCTCTTTGAAAAGCACGGCCTCGTTTGATCTCGGCTTGTGCTCCTGGACACGGGCTTGTAATTTGGGTGCTGAGTAAGAGGCCCGCCCGGGTCCGCGGTGGAGCCAGGGTGGGACCCTGCGCGCCAGCTCTGGGGCCGCAGGTGGACAGAGGGTGCGTCAGGCTCGGCTCAGCTGCCACGTGCCTGGCAGCAAAGAGCCTGTCCTCCACGCCACAGTCCCCTGCGTGCCAGTGCCGGCCTGCGGTGCCCAGGACGGGCAGATAGAGGCTCTGGGAATTGGGAGACACGGAGGAGAAGAGAAGGATTTGGCAGGGGGTTAGGGGACAACAAAGGGACCCCCGGTGGCTCTTTGAGAGGCCCTGCCTGCCCGCCCACCCTTAGACGTGGTCAGCTGGTGCAGGCAGGGGACCTCATTGATGAGAGCAAACTGCCACTGGGCTCAAGCGATCCTCCTGCCTCAGCCTCCCGAGTAGCTGGGACTACAGGCATGCGCCACCATGCCCACCTAATTTTTTCTATATAAGTTGGCCAATTATTTCTATTTATAGTAGAGACGGGGTCTCGCTCTTGTTCAGGCTGGTTTCGAACTCCTGACCTCGAGCAATCCACCCTCCTCGGCCTCCCAGAGTGCTAGGATTATAGGCGTGAGCCACCGTGCCTGGCCAAGAAGGCTCAGATCTGTGGGTTGTGGGAGTCCGCGTCCCAGAGGAGCTGCTTGAACAGCAAGTTTTTAGGGTGTGCGATGGCCGTGGGAGCCCTGGAAGAATCACACGGTGACTTTTCTGACCGGTCTTGTTTCCACCGTGGGCTGCACTTCCGTGTGTACGAGGACTTGGGAAGCAAACAGGCCCCACTTCCAGTCGTTTGCCTATAAAATCTGGAGCTTAAACAGATTCAGTTTTGAAATGATGCAATACTTAATGCTTCAGATGGATTTTGGCAGCATAGCCTGTCTTGTTGGTGAGCATTTTAGGTTTTGCGAGGTTGTAAAAAACCGTGTAGAGTGTATGGAACAGGCCCTAAGGGACAGGTTGTTAACCAGGGTTATGGATGTTCTTATTCTTTTTTTTCCTGCACCACTTCGTCTGTGAGGTGAAGCAGGATGGGAAGTGTGGCCTGTATAGAAACAACGAGGTGAGGTAACAGGGCTTAGGGTCTCCACGGACATGGTGCTGCTGCAGAGGGGGCAAGCCCGTGCTGGGCAGGACACTTTGCTGGCCTGGGCGCCAGCAGTCTGGGCTCTGCAGGTTGGCCAGGCCACACTGGGTTAGCACGAGGCCATTCCGAGGGGTTGGGCACTGAGGGCTGTCGCACCCGGTGGACACACAGCCTGACCGCTGTCAAAGGTGCAGTGGGGGCTCCGTGCTGTGTGGTGCTTGTCCCAGCGACCCCAGTCCTTGGCTCTGGCTCCTTCGCTGACCTCCTGTACATCAGGTGCGGGGAGGGGGAACCTTAGCTGTGACTCCCCCCAGATGGTGGCAATTACCTTTGACTGGGTTCCGTCCGGCAGTTTTCTAGACCCTCCTGCTCACACTGCCATCTGTCCCCCTGGTCACTGGGAGGTGAGTGGTGTCCCTCTGCTGCCCATTTTACAGATGAAGAAACTGAGGCTCAGAGGCGTCGAGTTGACTTTCTCAGGGTTACACAGCCGGTGAGCAGGGGCCACCAGGTGTCAAAACTATGACTAGGAAGAAACAAGCCAGCTGTCACACTCTCCTCTCTTACCTAAGGGAACATTTTTGAGGCGTTAGTCGCTAAAAATGAACGATTCGCTGCGCCGTAACTTTCAGACCCACTGGGCTACTGCTTCATGTGCCAAAGGAGCAAGTCTCCATCAACGATGAGATCCGTAGTTCTGAACAGCGAGACCAAACCAGACAGAAAGACCGGCCTTTGAATCAGCCGGAGGCGGATCGTCAGGTTTTGTTGAGGCACGGCACAGGGGGGCTGTCGTTTCAGACGCCGTTGTCAGTGGGGTCTCGCAGGCTTCCCTGGATTTACAGCCGTACCCTAGAGCCTTTGATGCCTTCCTTATTCCCGCCCTGGAGGTGCCGGGTGGAGCAGGCAGCGAGGAGCTTTTGTGGGAGCCATTCCAGCAGGGCCCCCAGCTTCTGCAGGGGAGGGGTCGGTGCGGGGGGCGGGGCCTGGGCAGGCATGCGTGGGACGAGGGCAGTGCCTCTCCGCCCCGCCTGGGGGTTGGCACGATCATCTTGACTGTGAGCAGCCAGCGTTGACGGCTTTACGTAGCCCTCCGCGGGCTAACCCCTGTTTGAAAGCTTTTGAAGTCCGAACACAGTGAAATTCAAGTAGCTGCCGGTTTTGAGTGACAGCCAGCTGTAGGAGATACTCATTTTATAGGTGACAGTTTCTGAACGAGGTTTTTTTTTTTTTTTTTTTGAGACAGAGTCTCACTCTGTTGCCCAGGCTAGAGTGAGTGCCATGGCGTCAGCCTAGCTCACAGCAACCTCAAACTCCTGGGCTCAAGTGATCCTCCTGCCTCAGCCTCCCAAGTAGCTGGGACTACAGGCATGCGCCACCATGCCCGGCTAATTTTTTCTATATTTAGTTGGCCAATTGATTTCTTTGTATTTATAGTAGAGACAGGGTCTCGCTCTTGCTCAGGCTGGTCTCGGACTCCTGAGCTCAAGCTATCCTCCCGCCTCGGCCTCCCAGAGTGCCAGGATTACAGGCGCGAGCTGCCGTGCCCGGCCATTTGAATGAGATTTTAAATTCTGTGATGGGGACTTTTTTACAGTAAACGTGTAATAAAAGCTGTTTGCATTTTTCAAAGCAGTGTGGCTGATTACCCAGCGGCAACTCGTCGAAAGTTGAATGCTCTCTGTGGTCTTCCTAGACATTGGTCTTTTTAGTGACACGCACATTTTTAATCCGCCTGGAACACGTGTGTGCCCGTGGGTGTAGACCTCAAGCTGCGTGTTGCAGAGCGTGGCTCTCGGTGGAAGGCGACGTCCCCGCCCCCTGCCGTGGGGTGGAACCTGCCGGTGTGGGAAAGCAGCTCTGCGGGAGAGAGTGGTTGTGGGTGAGTCACTCGGGCATGTCAGAAAATACTGAAGCCCAGTGAGACGGCAAGGCTGAGCAACCTCTCGCCGGTTACTCTGGAGGGGAGTGCACGGTGTAAAGCCATCTAGGCTCGATAGAGCTTTGCGAGGTGTTTGGCTAGTTAAACAAATCACGGTTGCTTTTACACGGAAGATGACAAACAAGGACATGAGGAGCAGGCCGTCGTACCAGCCTCGTCTGGACGCACAGAAGGGCAGTAGAATTTCTTCTGAAACTTGCGGTGTAGGGAGGATGAGGCCACCTTAAATGGCTCCCCTGGTTGAGCTGGCTCCCCTGGGAACAGTCGCGTGCTTTTGGCAACGCCGTGACCGTCTGAGGGCTGCGGTGACTCTGGAGCAGTGGCTTGCTCCTACCTTGGGAAACGCTGGCTCAGAAGCAAAGGAGCGTTGATTCATTTATCCAGCACCTACTGTGGGCCGGGCCAGTGCGGAGAGCCAGCGTGGCCCTGACGGGCGGTGGCTGGGGACAGGTAGACAAGGCAGCTGAGCTCAAGGGGAGGGAGGTGAGGACGGCGCGCACGCCGGGGTGGGCTGGGGACCCTCCGGAACCAGTGAGCGCGTGGGAAGCGTGTGCCTGGCGCGGAGACGGGGCGTGGCGGGTTCCCGGTCGGGCGGGGGCTGGCCGTGGGGGGTTTGGGCTAGTGCTGGGCAGGTCACTCTTCGAGAGACAATGGAGGGGGAGGGGAGCTCGGGAGGAGGCTTGGGTGGAGGAGGGAGTTGCCGGGTTAGAGGGCCACACTCAGTGGTCACGGTGGGCTGATGGCGGCCAGCCTGCTCCGGGTGCCGGGACTCTCCCAGCCCGCCTGGCCCAGCACCTTGAATTCTTCTGCTGCCAGGTCACCTTACGGATGGCAGCATTGCCACATCCATCTCAGAGAGCAGCAAACCAAGGACAGAGGCCCAGGACGCCAGCCTGTAGTGGTGGCAGCTGTGGGATTTCAACCTCAGACGGGCAGGTCCTGGGCCCTGTTCACTCACCCTCTGGGATGGGGGTGGGGTGTGTGTTCTGAGCCAGGGTCCTTGCTGGGGGATCAGCTCTGGGGAGAAGACCATGAGGCCGGTTTTGGGCCCCATGTGGCTGGGGCACCCTGGAGATTGTCCTGAGACCACTGGGTGTGCAGGTCTGGACAGGGAAGGACCACTGGGGTCATGGCCCCAGGTAGTTAGCACGGTTTTGGGGGCTGACAGCCCAAGAGGACATCACAGCCCAGAAATGGTCAGCATGGCTTTGGGGACAAGAGAGTGCCCGTGTAGAGAGGGTGTGGGCAGTTAGGATGGGACCCAGGCCCAGCCTGGAGGACCCCTGGCCTGAGCAGCCTGCAGGGAGGGGGGGAGTCTGCATGAGTCCGCAGCGAGAAGAGCCAC